AAGGGTCCACAGGGCCAGCCGCTCCCCGCACTGCCGCCTCAGACCTGCTCCGCACCGCTGGCCCAGCTCCAGGCTGGCGCCCGCTCCGCCCCCGCGCCACGGGCCTGAGAGTCTCCTCCTGCCACTGGGGGAGGCGGTAGCTGCCTGCTTGCCCTCTGCAAGCCGCCTCGAGCCGGCCTTGAATTCCCACACTAAGGAAGCTGCCGCACGGCAGACCCGTTGGGAAGAAAAGAGCAAGGCCAAGGAACCGAGCCTGGACGGAGGGCTTGTCCGGGATTCGCACCCGGGACCTCTTGCTCCCAAAGCAAGAATCATGCTGCTAGACCAACAAGCCACGCCCTTGCTGCCACCTGGCCGTGGAGCCTCACAAGCAAAGTCACCGTAAACTCATTGTGCCGGCCTTTCTCCGCAAAGAGAAAGATCGAAAGAAAACAAACAAACAAAGAAGAGGACCAGAGTTAAAATCCTGAAAGGATTCGGACGCGAGCAACGAATACAAAGTTCTCGGGGCAGGCTTGTAGCAGACGCGGACTAATGTGCTGGTTTGACTCACGTCTCTGGAAGACAGCCGCTCGTTGCACGGGTCATCCGTCCTTCCAAGCTTCCGTTCCTAGCAGAGATGCTCCAGAGGGGAGGGGCTGGAGTGGAGACCAAAGGGAGGAAGCACCGCGGCCCCGTTTCTCACCTCCACCACGTGGAGGGACTGCCACTGTTCTGACGGTCGAAAAGGAGGTTTGGAGGTATAGACCACACGCCTGACGTTCATAGCTTCCAATACGAATGACGATCCACGCGTACAAGCGGTGCAAAGAGAATCAGCGAAGCCTACGACTTGTCTCAGCCCATTGGCTTAGCCTATGTCCTGCCAAATGTGGCCCAAATTACTCCCGGCGGTTGCGACAGCGGTCCTAGTCCACTCCAACGACGTCACAAGAGGGCGGGCCCGGATCCCCCATCCAACCTCCCGGGGCGTGGCACGGTCCAGGCGGGAAGACCGGCTGCGTCGCTGGGGTAGCGAGAGAGAATGGAAGGCCTGAGCACCGGGAAGCGTGGGGGCGGGCAACGCAGAGCGAGCTAGGCGGAAGGCTGAATCACCAAGAGGGCAGCTCCAGGCTCCGAGAGGGAGGGAAGGGCCGCAGAGGAGAAGTCAGAGAGGGTCTAACGCCGGCATGCGGCCTGGGTCCGACCGAGTACCTTCCCCAGGCCTGCCCCGCGGAGGGATCCTGCAGCCGTGAGCAAGACAACGCGGCAAGAGGAGGATTAGCTCGCCCGAACGCTAAACGCGGCCGCAGAGGAATCAGGAGCAGGGCTTGTCCGGGAGTCGAACCCGGGACCTCTCGCACCCGAAGCGAGAATCATGCCCCTAGACCAACAAGCCGGCTCGGTGCAGCTCCCCCTCACCCAGCCCACGCCAGGTCTCACAGGTTTGGCAGAAAGACAAGCGCGCGGGAAGCACAAGCTTCAGAAGGACGGCTCCTCCCTCCATCTTTCCCAGGTCGCCTCCATGCTGGGTCTATCCCACTCCCAGAGCAAACTCCAAATTGACTGCCTAACGTGACTCTCGGGCCACAGGCTGCGGGAGGGTAAGGCAGGCTAAAGTCAGGAAAATAAACAAAGGAACGGCGCCAAAGGAGCTCTTTGGCCGGGCACTGTCCGGGACGGCTCCCAGGCGAAGGGAGAATCACGCCTCTACGAGAACGGGCTGCCTTTGGCCCCGCTGCTTGCCCTCGGGCCTCAGAACTTTTGGCCCAGGACCCAGCGAGCCGTCAGCCAAGGGAAGGGTCCCGGCTTCTCAGTGGCCATCCTACATCGCCACAATACCCTAAGTAACAGGCTGCGTCGGTGCCCTGGGCTACTGGGAGGTAGAATCCAGGGCCTGCCTCCTCGCCCGCCAGGGAGGGAAGGGACACTTGGAGCCTGCCGCAAGCAGGGGAGGACCGGCTAGAAGACAACTGAAAGAAAGCGGCAAGAGTTCTCCCTCCGGCCTGAGCTGGCTGCTCCGCCGGCAACGTGGGGCGGGATGCCCGCCCCCGACAGCCGCCCGGATCGGTGGCGTGCGTCCGGAGCCCCGGCTGCAGTTTTCAAGCTGAGCCGGCGGCTCCGCCGCCGCCTGGGGCGTGGAAGCGCCTGCCTCTGCCCGCTGGGCAGATCGCCTCCGGGCACCTCCCCAGCTCAGCCTCGTCTGGAGGCCGACCCTTGGGCCTCTCCTCTTCTCTGGGGTGCCCACTGGACCTGCGCCACTCCTGGACCATTAAGCCGTCCCCCGTGGCTCGTGACGGGGTGCCTGAGCCCCAGCGCTCCGTTCCAAAGTTGGGGGGCTCACGGCGGCCGGAAAGATTTCCGGCCACCAGGTCAACCCATTCGGTCCTAAGGGTCCACAGGGCCAGCCGCTCCCCGCACTGCCGCCTCAGACCTGCTCCGCACCGCTGGCCCAGCTCCAGGCTGGCGCCCGCTCCGCCCCCGCGCCACGGGCCTGAGAGTCTCCTCCTGCCACTGGGGGAGGCGGTAGCTGCCTGCTTGCCCTCTGCAAGCCGCCTCGAGCCGGCCTTGAATTCCCACACTAAGGAAGCTGCCGCACGGCAGACCCGTTGGGAAGAAAAGAGCAAGGCCAAGGAACCGAGCCTGGACGGAGGGCTTGTCCGGGATTCGCACCCGGGACCTCTTGCTCCCAAAGCAAGAATCATGCTGCTAGACCAACAAGCCACGCCCTTGCTGCCACCTGGCCGTGGAGCCTCACAAGCAAAGTCACCGTAAACTCATTGTGCCGGCCTTTCTCCGCAAAGAGAAAGATCGAAAGAAAACAAACAAACAAAGAAGAGGACCAGAGTTAAAATCCTGAAAGGATTCGGACGCGAGCAACGAATACAAAGTTCTCGGGGCAGGCTTGTAGCAGACGCGGACTAATGTGCTGGTTTGACTCACGTCTCTGGAAGACAGCCGCTCGTTGCACGGGTCATCCGTCCTTCCAAGCTTCCGTTCCTAGCAGAGATGCTCCAGAGGGGAGGGGCTGGAGTGGAGACCAAAGGGAGGAAGCACCGCGGCCCCGTTTCTCACCTCCACCACGTGGAGGGACTGCCACTGTTCTGACGGTCGAAAAGGAGGTTTGGAGGTATAGACCACACGCCTGACGTTCATAGCTTCCAATACGAATGACGATCCACGCGTACAAGCGGTGCAAAGAGAATCAGCGAAGCCTACGACTTGTCTCAGCCCATTGGCTTAGCCTATGTCCTGCCAAATGTGGCCCAAATTACTCCCGGCGGTTGCGACAGCGGTCCTAGTCCACTCCAACGACGTCACAAGAGGGCGGGCCCGGATCCCCCATCCAACCTCCCGGGGCGTGGCACGGTCCAGGCGGGAAGACCGGCTGCGTCGCTGGGGTAGCGAGAGAGAATGGAAGGCCTGAGCACCGGGAAGCGTGGGGGCGGGCAACGCAGAGCGAGCTAGGCGGAAGGCTGAATCACCAAGAGGGCAGCTCCAGGCTCCGAGAGGGAGGGAAGGGCCGCAGAGGAGAAGTCAGAGAGGGTCTAACGCCGGCATGCGGCCTGGGTCCGACCGAGTACCTTCCCCAGGCCTGCCCCGCGGAGGGATCCTGCAGCCGTGAGCAAGACAACGCGGCAAGAGGAGGATTAGCTCGCCCGAACGCTAAACGCGGCCGCAGAGGAATCAGGAGCAGGGCTTGTCCGGGAGTCGAACCCGGGACCTCTCGCACCCGAAGCGAGAATCATGCCCCTAGACCAACAAGCCGGCTCGGTGCAGCTCCCCCTCACCCAGCCCACGCCAGGTCTCACAGGTTTGGCAGAAAGACAAGCGTGCAGGAAGCACAAGCTTCAGAAGGGCAGCTCCTCCCTTCATCTTTCCTAGGTCGCCTCCATGCTGGGTCTATCCCACTCCCAGAGCAAACTCCAAATTGACTGCCTAACGTGACTCTCGGGCCACAGGCTGCGGGAGGGTAAGGCAGGCTAAAGTCAGGAAAATAAACAAAGGAACGGCGCCAAAGGAGCTCTTTGGCCGGGCACTGTCCGGGACGGCTCCCAGGCGAAGCGAGAATCACGCCTCTACGAGAACGGGCTGCCTTTGGCCCCGCTGCTTGCCCTCGGGCCTCAGAACTTTTGGCCCAGGACCCAGCGAGCCGTCAGCCAAGGGAAGGGTCCCGGCTTCTCAGTGGCCATCCTACATCGCCACAATACCCTAAGTAACAGGCTGCGTCGGTGCCCTGGGCTACTGGGAGGTAGAATCCAGGGCCTGCCTCCTCGCCCGCCAGGGAGGGAAGGGACACTTGGAGCCTGCCGCAAGCAGGGGAGGACCGGCTAGAAGACAACTGAAAGAAAGCGGCAAGAGTTCTCCCTCCGGCCTGAGCTGGCTGCTCCGCCGGCAACGTGGGGCGGGATGCCCGCCCCCGACAGCCGCCCGGATCGGTGGCGTGCGTCCGGAGCCCCGGCTGCAGTTTTCAAGCTGAGCCGGCGGCTCCGCCGCCGCCTGGGGCGTGGAAGCGCCTGCCTCTGCCCGCTGGGCAGATCGCCTCCGGGCACCTCCCCAGCTCAGCCTCGTCTGGAGGCCGACCCTTGGGCCTCTCCTCTTCTCTGGGGTGCCCACTGGACCTGCGCCACTCCTGGACCATTAAGCCGTCCCCCGTGGCTCGTGACGGGGTGCCTGAGCCCCAGCGCTCCGTTCCAAAGTTGGGGGGCTCACGGCGGCCGGAAAGATTTCCGGCCACCAGGTCAACCCATTCGGTCCTAAGGGTCCACAGGGCCAGCCGCTCCCCGCACTGCCGCCTCAGACCTGCTCCGCACCGCTGGCCCAGCTCCAGGCTGGCGCCCGCTCCGCCCCCGCGCCACGGGCCTGAGAGTCTCCTCCTGCCACTGGGGGAGGCGGTAGCTGCCTGCTTGCCCTCTGCAAGCCGCCTCGAGCCGGCCTTGAATTCCCACACTAAGGAAGCTGCCGCACGGCAGACCCGTTGGGAAGAAAAGAGCAAGGCCAAGGAACCGAGCCTGGACGGAGGGCTTGTCCGGGATTCGCACCCGGGACCTCTTGCTCCCAAAGCAAGAATCATGCTGCTAGACCAACAAGCCACGCCCTTGCTGCCACCTGGCCGTGGAGCCTCACAAGCAAAGTCACCGTAAACTCATTGTGCCGGCCTTTCTCCGCAAAGAGAAAGATCGAAAGAAAACAAACAAACAAAGAAGAGGACCAGAGTTAAAATCCTGAAAGGATTCGGACGCGAGCAACGAATACAAAGTTCTCGGGGCAGGCTTGTAGCAGACGCGGACTAATGTGCTGGTTTGACTCACGTCTCTGGAAGACAGCCGCTCGTTGCACGGGTCATCCGTCCTTCCAAGCTTCCGTTCCTAGCAGAGATGCTCCAGAGGGGAGGGGCTGGAGTGGAGACCAAAGGGAGGAAGCACCGCGGCCCCGTTTCTCACCTCCACCACGTGGAGGGACTGCCACTGTTCTGACGGTCGAAAAGGAGGTTTGGAGGTATAGACCACACGCCTGACGTTCATAGCTTCCAATACGAATGACGATCCACGCGTACAAGCGGTGCAAAGAGAATCAGCGAAGCCTACGACTTGTCTCAGCCCATTGGCTTAGCCTATGTCCTGCCAAATGTGGCCCAAATTACTCCCGGCGGTTGCGACAGCGGTCCTAGTCCACTCCAACGACGTCACAAGAGGGCGGGCCCGGATCCCCCATCCAACCTCCCGGGGCGTGGCACGGTCCAGGCGGGAAGACCGGCTGCGTCGCTGGGGTAGCGAGAGAGAATGGAAGGCCTGAGCACCGGGAAGCGTGGGGGCGGGCAACGCAGAGCGAGCTAGGCGGAAGGCTGAATCACCAAGAGGGCAGCTCCAGGCTCCGAGAGGGAGGGAAGGGCCGCAGAGGAGAAGTCAGAGAGGGTCTAACGCCGGCATGCGGCCTGGGTCCGACCGAGTACCTTCCCCAGGCCTGCCCCGCGGAGGGATCCTGCAGCCGTGAGCAAGACAACGCGGCAAGAGGAGGATTAGCTCGCCCGAACGCTAAACGCGGCCGCAGAGGAATCAGGAGCAGGGCTTGTCCGGGAGTCGAACCCGGGACCTCTCGCACCCGAAGCGAGAATCATGCCCCTAGACCAACAAGCCGGCTCGGTGCAGCTCCCCCTCACCCAGCCCACGCCAGGTCTCACAGGTTTGGCAGAAAGACAAGCGCGCGGGAAGCACAAGCTTCAGAAGGACGGCTCCTCCCTCCATCTTTCCCAGGTCGCCTCCATGCTGGGTCTATCCCACTCCCAGAGCAAACTCCAAATTGACTGCCTAACGTGACTCTCGGGCCACAGGCTGCGGGAGGGTAAGGCAGGCTAAAGTCAGGAAAATAAACAAAGGAACGGCACCAAAGGAGCTCTTTGGCCAGGCACTGTCCGGGACAGCTCCCAGGCGAAGCAAGAATCACACCTCTACAAGAACAGGCTGCCTTTGGCCCCGCTGCTTGCTCCCCACAGCGCCAGCTGCTCCCTGCAAGAGGAGGATTAGCTCGCCCAAACGCTAAATGCAGCAGCAGCAGCAGCCCCAGGGGAATCAGGAGCAGGGCTTGTCCGGGAGTCGAACCCAGGAGCTCTTGCACCGGAAGCGAGAATCGCGCCCCTAGACCAACAAGCTGGCCCAGTGCAGCCACCTACCCCGCGCCAGGTCTCACAGGTTTGGCAGAAAGACAAGCGTGCAGGAAGCACAAGCTTCAGAAGGGCAGCTCCTCCCTTCATCTTTCCTAGGTCGCCTCCATGCTGGGTCTATCCCACTCCCAGAGCAAACTCCAAATTGATTGCCTAACGTGACTCTCGGGCCACAGGCTGCGGGAGGGTAAAGCAGGCTAAAGTCAGAAAAATAAACAAAGGAACTGCGCCAAATGAGCTCTTTGTCCGTGCACTGTCCGGGACCGATGTACGGGATTGCTCCCAGACGAAGCGAGAATGACGCCTCTATGAGAATGGGCTGCCTTTGGCCTTGCTGCTTGCGGTTGGGACAGAAGGTGGAGGCCCTCGTAGACTTGGGCTGCAGCCAAGTACAGGGTCCCCGAAGACCGCCGGTACAGGTGCATTGTGTGCACGGCGATGTACCCCATTATGCAACGGCATGGGCCCAGATTGTGGACGGAACCCTCAGGAGCTGGGCTTATGTGGTAGTTGGTCCTAGGCTGGTCTACCCCGCTCTCCTGGAACGTGACTGGGAGGGTTTCCGACGTGCGATGGACAAATCGGGGCGTCAGAGGAGCTGAGAAGACACAGAAGGAATGCTGGGTGAGAATCCGGGGCCGCTGATCCCCCAGCTAGCCCCCCGGGGGGTGCTGGCCACGCAGGAAAGGGGCCATCAGCCGGACCCTTCACCCCCATTGGAACCCTGGGACAGAGAGAGCAGAGGGATGACCCCACACTGCAATATGTCTGGGAGGCAGCCGAAAGAGAAGGGGCGGCCGAAGAGGATGATGGCAGTCGGAGAGGTGGTCCCTGGTTTGAGGTACGTCGTGACCGCTTGTACCGGGTCACAGAAGGGGCAGAGGAGTATGGGACTCTTAGGCAGCTAGTGATCCCCACCCGGTACCGGCATCCCCTCATGGGCTTAGCCCATGACAACCCCTGTTCGGGCCATCTGGACTATGAAAAGACGGTGCGCAGGATCCTCCAGCGTTTCTACTGGCCCGGGGTTTACAGGGCGGTTAAGGACTTTTGTCTGTCGTGCCCGGAGTGCCAACGGATGAACCCCAGGGGAGCCCCCAAGGCCCGCTTGGTGTCTATGCCCATTATAAGCATCCCATTCGAACGAGTGACTATGGACCTAATTGGCCCATTAGAAAAAACGACCTCCGGGTGTCAATACGTCCTCGTGGTCGTAGACTACGCCACCCGGTACCCCGAGGCCGTCCCCTTAAGAACAACAATGGCAAAAGTGTTAGCGGCAGAGCTAGTAAAGATCTTCGCCTGGGTGGGGGTGGCCAAAGGGATCCTCACTGATCAGGGGACGAACTTTATGTCGCGGCTCATGACCGAGCTATGCCGGCTGTTGCGTATAAAGATGATACGGACGTCAGTCTATCACCCCCAAACCAACGGGCTCGTAGAGCGATTTAATAGGATACTGAAGGGCATGCTACGGAAGTTCATAGAACAAGACCCCCGGGGCTGGGATCGCATGCTGCCCGCACTAATATTCGCTGTGCGCAAGGTTCCACAAGCCTCAACGGGGTTCTCCCCTTTCGAGCTCCTCTATGGGAGGCAACCCCGGGGGATATTGGACATTGTACGGGAGAACTGGGAGGAACAGGAAACACGAGTGAAAGGCTCGGTCCCCTATATTCTGGACCTAAGGCAAAAGTTAAAGACTCTAGAGGAATTCGCCCAGTTGTACCAATGGGAGGCACAGGCATGACAGGCGACCTATTACAATGTGGGGGCCTGTCTCCGAACATTTCAACCAGGGGACCGGGTCTTGCTCTTGTTGCCGTCCCAAGACTCTAAGCTACTAGCTAAGTGGCAGGGACCCTTCGAGGTGGTCAGAAAAGTGGGTGAGGTGGACTATGAGATACGCCTACCCGGGAGCCGTAGAGAAACGAAAGTTTACCATGTTAACCTCTTGAAGGCCTGGAGACAACAAGAAGCCCTGGTAGTGAACTCTGAGGACCCCGAAGTGGACCTGGGGCCAGGAGTTGCGGGAAACTCCGATCCGCCGGAGCCGGGGGTGAACCCTGCGTCGATGCCGAGGCAGAGAGAGGGATTGGAAGCCTTGCTCCACGAATTCGCAGGGGTTCTGACCGACAAACTGGGATGGACAACTCAAGCATACCACCACGTGGAGACTGAACCTGGGAAAATGGTGAGGGACCCCGTACGCCCCCTCCCTAGGAAGATGCGGGAGACGGTGAGGGAGGAGACCCAGAAAATGCTCCAATGGGGAATAGTGATAGAGATGTAGCCATGTTAGTCTGGGGAGTGATTGAGGAGTCGCAGAGCGCATGGCGGAGCCCTATCGTATTAATAGGTCCCAAAACCCGATGGCTCGACGCGCTTTTGTATCGACTTCCAAAAAGTCAACGCTTCGACGCCTACCCTATGCCTAGGGTGAACGAACTATTGGACCGACTCAGGCAAACACGCTACCTGTCGACCATCGACCTAAGCAAAGGGTATTGGCAAATCCCCCTCACCGCCACCTCAAGGGAGAAAACAGCCTTCTCGACGCCCTTCGGATTATACCAATTCGTTAGAATGCCGTTCAGATTGCATGGGGCAGCGGCCACGTTTCAACGCCTAATGGATAACATTCTGAAGGACCATCACCAGTACGCGGCCGTGTACATTGACGACATTATAGTGTACAGCGAGTCGTGGGAAGAACATCTGAGACGACTCCGGGCCGTCCTGAGAACACTGCAGGAGGCAGGGCTATTGGCCAACCCCCGTAAGTGCCACTTCAGAGAGCGAGAAGTGACGTATCTAGGCTACACGGTAAGAAAGGGCCGTGTAAAACCCCTAATCGATAAGGTGAAGGCCTTACGGGAATACCCGCCCCCCCCCAAAACAAAGAGGCAGGTACGGCAATATTTAGGCCTGGCCAGTTATTACCGGTGCTTTGTACCACACTTCGCATCCCTGGCCGCCCCTCTAAGGGTATGTCTACACTTCAGCGCTAATTCAAACTAACTTAGTTCGAATTAGTTAATTCGAACTAAGCTAATTCGAACTAACGCATCTAGAACTAAAAACTAGTTCGAATTAGCCCAGGGCAGACGAAGGAAGCCTGAGGGCTGGCGCGTTACGGCAGACGCCCCGCCAGCTGGACCGGATGCCGTAAGCATTCTGAGTCCTTAGGGCCCTAGGCTGGGGTCCATGAGAGGGGGCGGGCCTGGACCCCCCTCTCCCTGCTACGGGAAGCCCGGAGACCCCTGGTGTTAAAGGGGCCCCCTGGGCCAAGAAGATAGTTGACTGGGGAAGCCAGACGGTGAACCTCTGGGTGAGGGGAGCACGAGACTCAGGCGGAGAGTACGAGGTGTCAGTGGGCACCCCAATAGATTCCTTTACAGAGGTATAGACCACACACCTGATGTTCATAGC